GGTGGCTCAACGCAGGAGCACCCCCTACTGGCCCGCCTCACGTGGTGGAAACAGCGGAGGGATACGACTACCCAGCTGTGTTCCTGAGGTGGGATCTCTGCACCCGCCACACAGGGAGCACATGCCCCAAGGGCCCATGCTAATTAGCCCAGGAGGAAAGCCTGGGAAGTTTAAAGGAAGAAGAAGGGACGTTGTAGCCAGACTGGGAGGAGGATTCTGCTGCAGCTGAGACCCAGCAAGCTGAACCCTCATGGGATGCCAGGGAGACTGACTCTGAGTGAAGAACCAACCTGCTCTACCATCCAGATAAGTGAAGCCAAATGGCAGGGTGCTTTCAGGTGACCCACCAGCTGGGAGATGGGGGACACCGGGAAAAGGATTACCCCAGAGAGAGTACTGAACCCTCAGGAAAGAGGATGGAAGTGACACCGACAACAGCTAGCCTCGGAGGGTCCTGGATAGACGCAAGTGAGGAAGGGAGTTGCCTGGAAGAACTGAGTAAAAGAGGCCACTGACCCAGGGTACCTGCAGATAGTGGAGCTGAAGCCCAGCGCAGACCCAGAAGTTTTTCTCTGCATTATTACATAGAAATCCTGAGGTAGGGAAGTATACCAGGGGAAAAGCCTGATACCGTGCTCACCTGAGTTCTGATTAGTCAAGCCAGAGTTAACACCTGAGACCCAGTAGTATCTGAACATGGACCCTGGGACTGGCAAGCAGAGATTCCATCTCCCCAGGACCCACTGATCCTGGATAGAAGGAAAACTACTGCAAGTAGGGTGGAGACATTTGAGGAGGAGCGACCTGCCTAGAGGGCATGGCCATGACCTCTCACAAAGCCCACAGCCAACCGGGCCAGAGAGGATCCAAGAACCGGCAATTTGCATTCAATACCAACAGGAAGAGACAACTTGTCACTCAAGAGGAAAGGGGGGGGGCAGGGAAGGTGGTGGAGCCCAGCAGAAGACTGACCTCACCTGTACGATGATCACCCAAGATACCACCTAAACTCCCTAGAACTAAACATCAAAGATGTGGCAGGTGAGAGGGAGGAAGAATAAGATAGAGGTTCCTGAGATTCCAGTGGGACAAGGAGCAGCAGGTAAGCCCATTCACTCACACCAGGGATATATCAGAACATGATAATAATACAACGTGACGTGAACTGGAGTGGCTATTTCTTTTAAATACTAATGAATCCAGCAAAATTCATGGTGAAAGCCATTCCTCCTATTTTTTTTTTCCCCAGTACTGTAAGTTTGTATCACTTAGATTATTCCATTTATTCATTTGTTATCCATAGGCACTACACTCAAATATATTTACAAAAATCAACCCTCTTTGTAAAAATGAAAAAGATACTGAAAAAATATATTCAGGCTATTGATGGTACTAAAGTCCTACCATTTGTCCTCTGCAATATGTTCTATTACCTTCAAAGAAAACAGAAAATCATAGAGAAGTAAGACTGGAAGGGACCTCCAGAGATCATCTAGTCTCTCCCTCCTGCCTGAGGCAGGATCATCCCTATCCAAACTAGTTTATACAATCCATAATCTAAACTCTACATAAGAATACCATCAACTCTGACACAACACGGACCTAACACCTATCCTGCCACAAGTAAAGCAGGGGAAACACTGCAACCAATGTCCCACTTTTATGAAATGTCAGTATATGCTCAAGAGATCCTGGGTAGCAAGCCACTTCCCCTGCTACAGAGGAAGGCAAAAACCCCTTGAAGTCAGTACCAATCTGATCATGGGATAAAATTCCTTCCTGACCCCAATTATGGCAATTGGTCTGACCCACAGCCCTTCCCCCCCCACCTCTTCCCCCACAGAAGTACCTGCTGGGGGGCGCGAGCCCCCAAATAACTTTTTCTCCCTTTGCCTCGATCTGCTCCCCCCCTTTCCCTAAGTGGAGGGAAGGTGTGGGACTGATCTTTGGGATTGCAGGGGATGGATAGATCTTGGGTTGCTTTTTAATTCAAAAAGTGATCTCCCACCCAAAAAGGTGGGAGACCACTGACCTAGATCATCCCTGACCAGTGGTTGTTCAACCTCTTCTTGAACACTTTCTAGCCTTAGGCAGTCTATTTCATTGCCTCACTATGCTAATATTGAAGAAATGTTTCCAGATATCCAATATAAACTTATTTTGCTGCAGCAACAAGGCATTAGCCTGTGCCCTTCTCTGCATCGAAAGAAAAAGTGCTTTCCCTCTAACTTTTATGGCAGCCCTTCAAGTATTTGAAGACTGCCATCATGTCCCCTCTTAAGCGCTTTTTCTGCAAGCTGAGCATGCCTCCTTCAGCCTCTCCTCATATTACTTGCTTTGCAGCCTTTTATTATCTTTGTTACCTGCCTCTGGACACTAACTTCTCCACGTCCTTATTAAAATGTGAAGCCCAGCACTGCATACAATACTTCCCGATGAGTCCTAACCAATGTCGAGTAAAGAGGCCTGTGTCTTGCACCTATTGCTTCTATTGATTCAGCCCAAAGTGCATTTGCCTTTTATGTGGCTGCATCACACTGCAGACTCATACTAAGTCTGTGGTCTAAGACCCCCGTTTCCTTTTCCAAAGTGCTGCCATCCAGCCAGGTGTCCCCTGTTTTGTATTTGCATTTTTGATTATTCTTCCCGAGGTGTAATAAATGTTACATTTGTCCACATTGAACTTCATTCTGTTAGCTCTAGCCCAACTTTCCAATCTGTCGCAATCCTTCTGAATTGCACTTGTATCCTCCACTGTGTTCACAATCTTTTCCAGTTTTGTGTTATCTGCAAACCTGCTCAAGAAACTTTCTAGGCCAGCATCCAACACATTAATAAACATGCTGAACAGCGCCAGGCCCTGGAAAGACACCTCTGGGGCTCCACTCAAAACCTCCTACCATTCTGACATAGACCTGTTAATAATTATCCTTTGCTTGTGGCTATTGAGCCAGTTACCTATCCACCATGTAGTAGTTTTATCTAGCCCACATTTCTCTAATTTATTTATGAGAAGGTTGTGTGGTACCTTCTCAGACTCCTTGCTGAAGTCTAGATACACTATATCCGCAGCATGTCTTTCATCCACCCAAGTAGTTACCTTGTCAAAGAAGAAGATCTAGTTTGTTTGACACAATTTGTTTGTCAGAAATTCATGCTGGCTGCTTGTGATCAGCTGTTCCTCTTCCAGATGCTAGTAAGTGGGCTTCCTTAGGATATGCTTCAGTAACTCCCCAGGTATTGAAGTGAGGTTAACCAGTCTGTAGTTCCCCCAGCTCTTCCTTTTTGCCTTTTTTAGAAAGGTGCACTATATGTTGGCCTTCTGGTACCTCCTGTGACCCATCTCTCTGAAGATCACTGCTGAGGGCTCTGAAATCTCCTCTGCCAGTTCCTTCAACACCCTGGGATGAAGTTCATCCGGCCCTGCTGACTTGAATTCACTCAGACCCAACCAAAGCTCTCTGATCAACTCTTTTGTTATCTCCTTCCTCAGCTTGCCCACCTACCTTTTCCAGATAATCCTTATTAGGTACCTGACTGCAGCTTAATCATTCTGTGATGACTGAGGCAAAGAAACTGTTGAGTAGATCTGCCTTCTTTGCATCTTTGTGAGGAGTTCCCCCTAGTTTGTTAACAGAGGACCCACAGCTTCCTTGGTTCTTCTTCTCTAGCTCTTATAGATTTCATAGACATTAGGGCTGGGAGGGACTTTGGAAGATCATTGAGTCCAGCCCCCCGCCCGAAGGGCAGGAAGTCAGCTGGGGTCATAGGAGCCCAGCAAGATAAGCATCCAATTTACTCTTG